CAAAATAAGTATAAATAAGTATTTTTATTTGTGTACAAGCTGTTTAGATTGTCAAAAAGCCTGTGTTTTTAGGGTTATTAACGAAGTTCGTGTCCTCAGACCAGTAATATTTGGGGTCACAAGTTTTTACCATCGATATTTTGTGGGTCAGAAGATAAAAAGTTTGGGAACCACTGGCATACAGAGTAACAGCAACACTAAAGCTGAGGTAAATTTGGTCAAAAACAGACCTGCAGATGCCTGTAAAGCCAAATGGGATATATTTTCCTGCAGCAAAACTGCACAGCTACATACATCTGCCGGCACCGCCGCCATCTTGTGCGGTACGGGGAAACACGTGTTACCGTGTTAGAGGTGGATGCTAACTTTAGCTAAAGCTAGCTGGAGCAGGCAGGTGCAGCAGGTGAGGAGATTAAAGTGATTTTGTAAAGTTGTGAAGTTATTTTGAATAAACTCCACCTGCTCTGATCTTTATGCTGATTAGAAACCAGATTCTGATCCAAATCTAAAATAAACCCATGAGACCAGCAGAGCTGCAGCACTGTCTTTTCCTGACCTTGGATGGAAAAACTAACAAGTTAACCAGTTTATTTTCAGCTTGTTCACGTCTAAAAAAACACAGTTAGGCTGAACTGAGTCCAGGTTCTGTTGATCGCTCAGACAAAAGAACAAACGAGGAGCTGCTGCAGGTTCTATAAAATACTGAAGTCCAGACGGGCTGAACTGGATCAGAAAAAAAACAAAACAGAAAGGGTTGTAAAAGAGAAGAAAAAACACACTGTTGTCTTTTGTCTGATTCTGTGAAGTCAAAGATTTAAAGTCCTGTTTGAAGGTTACCTGAAACGCCTCCATGATGCTTTTACTTTGAAATCTGAAACAGCCAATCAGACGGCTCCTCTCTGATGGACACAAAACATCATGAGAATAAAAAAACAACAACCTAATTTAGCTTCTGAAAGAGTTTATTTATCACACAGCTGGATTCAAAGCACCAACATGCTAAATATTCTGTTTCTGGTCCAAATGAACCCTTGATAGACCGGTTGGAGGAGGACCACCTGCAGGAGCCAGAACCCTAACACTGGACATTCAGCTCCTACATCTCCGTCTCGATGGACGGGGGTCTGTGCTCCGACACCTCTCCTCCTTGTTCTGCCTCTGACTCCAAGGCCTCTGGAGGTGGGTCAGGATCAGGGTCTGAGCTGCTCAGGTCAGGGGGGCTCCATGAAGTAGTCTGGGTCACATGACTGTTACGTACAAAGAGACAAGAGAAGAAAAGTTTCTTAGAGAACCTGAACTTCCTGTCTTTGACTTTAAGGACTCTGACCTGTGGTCAGGATTAATTTAACCCTTCAAGTCAGAACCAGACCCGGTTTAGATTTACTGGGTTATGGGGTGCCGTTTGTAAAGTTACGCAGTCAAAAATTACCACTAATATTTTTTGTTTTATTTAGCCTTTTATGAGAAAAAAAGAACAGATTTATTTTTCAAAGTCCATTTTTCACCAAATGATTCATGCATTTATAAATGTCATGGTTTATAAATTAAATATTTAACTTACAAATTAAATATTTAGTTAACAAGCTTAATACAACGGGTGAAATAAGTATTAAACACGTCACCATTTTTCTCAGTAAATATATTACTAGAGGTGCTAATGACATGAAATTTTCACCAGATGTTGGTAACAACCCAAGTGATCCATACA